CTTCATGTAACTTTCTTTATTTGTTTCGTGGTATCAGAGCTACAAGTCTTTACTATGGCACAATCAACACAAGAGTCTTCCACTGCCCAATCGTTCTCCACTCTTCCTCTTATCACCCCAGTTTGATGCTACAATAGCTAATGCAATTTACTCCATTCAACTATCTGGTCATTGACACCCCATGATCAATACATGGTTCCTTTAGGATATCAACTAATTCTCAGTGACCAGCCGTGCTTATCAAACAATAGTTTAATGCTAAGTGGAGTGACATAGTTATTTCTGGAGTCTTAGGATTATACCACCAAAGCTGAAAATCTTCATTTGGTGCATCATCCATGATGCAATTCCATCCCAAAGCAAACTAAAATGGTTTATGAGTGAGATTGATCCAACTAATTGTTCCTATTGTGGTGGCAATGAGATTATTGATCATTTATTCCTACATTGTCCATATGCTAAACTTGTCTGGTTTGGTTCTGATCTATATATGCTTCAGACTAGATTCCCAGCCTCACCATCATCTTAATATTGATTGGATTGCTTATTGGTTATCTCCAAAAGACATGGAAAATTCAGCCACATCACTAATTTTGGTAAATTTTTTAATCTATTATGGCTCTTGTGGCTGGCACTTAGATTATGTTTGGTTTGAAAGAAAATGCATAGAAAGGAAGGGAAAGGTAGGGAAACATTTACAAACCTTGTATAGATTTTCCTGTCTTTTCCTTTCTTTCCCTACCTTTTCCTTCAAACCAAACATAGCCTTAATGCAAGAATTTTCCACCACCAACTTTGGAATCCAGAAGTTACTCCTCTCTAAAGCTCAAGGCTATTGGAATCACTTAAATGACTGTTTTAACCAACAAATTCATAATACTCCAACAACTATTCTTACTGAAATCGTGATGAGACTGTTCACAAGTTGGACCAAACCAAGGTTCAAAGTATCGATAAGTATCGGTCCATATCAACTGATACGTATCGTGCTGATGGCTTATAAATACGTCCCTCCAGGGGTTGTATTGGGTCAGCCACCAGTTCAGAGGGTAGCCGAGTCTTAAACCGACCGCTCTGAACCGATTTCAAAAAAAAATAAATAAAACTAAATAAATGTACCAACACAAGTTGATATGCCCTACTAGCGTATCAGCCCGTATCGATATTTAGAACCTTGGACCAAACCACTTAATGGTAAAGTCAAAATTAATTTTGATGGAGCTATATCAAGTAGGAAATTTGGAGTAGGACTGGTCATGGTTCCTTTATTTATGCACGAGACATTCCACTTGAAGCTAATATATCTTGGTAACAGAAGTTGTTGCTATTCTTGGAGGCTCTTTGCTTCCTCTCTTGGAATTTCTTTAACTATTATTGAAGGTGATGCTCAATGCCTAATGAAGCTCTTGTTGGGTGGATCTTCTAACACCCTTTGGAGAGTTCAAACTAAGGTTTTTAAAAGTGAATCGGACAACAAATCGGTTCCTGGTTTTTCTGATCCGGCCATCCGGTCCAGTCTGGTTTTGAAAACCATGGTTCAAATTCTCATTTCTAGTTGCAAGAGGATTTTCTCACACCTTGATGGCTACTCGGTTACATTTGTTCTCTCTTTGTAATACTTTAAAGACCTAGTCGATTGGTCCTTTATTCCTTAATTCCTTAGGTTTTTGTAATTGAGAATTTATGATGAATGAACTTTTCTAAGGGCTTTTAAAAAAGAAAAAAAATATTTTATATATTTGTTTAAATTTTGCAAAAGAAAAAAAAAAGAAATTGCATCAATTTAAAGGCATTAAATTCAGGCCAAATTTACGATTGTATTTTATAGAAATTGCTACAAACATATAATATAATCAAATGCGAACAAACCAAAAATTAAAAATTAAAAAAATAAAAAAACACATCACAATGGTATCTTCAGGGGTTTAATAAGTAGATAATATAATGTGTCTTTGAAATCTCTAGAGTTGCCACCTCAGCATGCCCCTCTCCCTTTCCCACCCCTAATGGAAACGCATTGTCCCAAGTTTGTTTACTTCTATTAATCCTCACTTCCCAATTACCTAAAGATATCTCTCTCTCTACACCCCTAAAACCTCTCCAACACATTAGGAAATTTCCAAGTTTTGTAGTGCACCTTCCTTATCTTTTTTTATCAACCTCCTACTGTATTTGTCATCTTTCCATTTTCTTCTTCCCTCTCTCAACACATTCATCTTAATCTCTCTTCTCATCACAACAACCACATGTTAGATAACCCATTTTTAAAACAATGTTACATAAACATGACCCATTAAACATAATTATTGCCTTTAATCATGTACATTTACTTATGCTACATGTAAAATTACATAATTGACCTGAACTACCCTAAATCAACATTAACATAAGTTAATTTAACTTAGATTAACTTAAATTAACTTAAACTTCCCTAAATAGAGCTAATTTAATTAACATAATTAAATTTATTATCTTAATTAAGTTTCTTAAACCTAATAACTTAATTCACTTTTAATCTTTTCTTGATACTATTCGCTACATGTAAAGTTACCTAATTAAATTAAGGAACTAATTTATTTTAATTAGGAAATTAATTAAAGTTAGCTAATTAATAAATAATTTATTTGATTAGCTAACTTAAGTATCGTCTAATTAAATTGAGTAACATAACTATATTACCTAATTAGTGAAGTTAACCTTAACCCAATGTTTTAAAAGTCAAACTGAAAATGGAACATTTTTGCCTCTTGGTTCTAGGTTAGCAGTTCAATCATTGGGTTTGAAATGGATCCACTCATAATATTCATCAATGTTTTAAAAATCGACCCGGAACCGAAACCAGTTTGGTCATTGGTTTCTAGGTTAGCAGTTCGACTATCCAGTTCAAACGAATGATTCGTTCCAATTTAAAAATTAAGAAATAAAAAAATAATGAAAATTAAAAATGATAAAAAACTGTTGGTCAGATCAAACGGGTCGATGGTTCGACCGTCTAGGTTAGCGGGTTGTTGACCAAGTCAACGGGTTTTAGCTAAGATACAAGGTTAAGGGTGAAACGAAATTGATTGCCTTGATTGTTTTGGGGCTAAACGATTCGATCATTTGGGTCAACAACGGTTTGAAAACCATGATATTCATCATAAATATAATAAAATATTTAAATTATAAAAAAATAGTTATTAATTTGTGAACAGTTGTCCACTTCAAATAGTGTAATGATGATCAAAGATACATTGACCAAAATCAACTATATTTTATAAAATAATGGGCTAAGTGGTAATTAAACCAAAAAAAGTGACCAATTTCCATTGAAAGAGCTAAACTCAATGATCTTTGTAGGAGAAGCCAAATTTTTTTTCCTTGAGGATCAAAACCTAATTAAACCTAATTAAATGGATGGAGACAAGAAAATAAACATGGATAGGGCTTTGGGGGCCTAATCATTTAGTGGGGGTGGGAAAGGGAAAATTTAAATGGAGAGGTGTAGTATAAGTGGAGATTGGGTTTGCTGCAACGTTTTTAAAACTGACCAGGAGACTGAACCGTTCAAGGTTTTGGTTCTTGGGTTAAACGGTTCGATCGTTTGAATCGAACGATCGGCCCATTTTAACAAAAAATAAAAAAACGGTCAAAACTATTAAATGGTCCGAACAGTTCAACTACTCAGGTTAGTGGTTTGCTAACTAAATCAACAGTTTTTTGCAAAAATCCGATTTTGAGGGAAAAAATAGAACCGGTCACTTGACTAGTTCCCGGTTTTTCTGGTCCAATCGTCTGGTCCAGTCCGGTTTTAAAAACCATGGTTTGCTGTACCCCTTGCTTATATTTGAGCCTTTTCCCTCCTATATGATTATCCAATAGAAAGGAAAAAAAAACTTGGGATGAATTTTGATTAAACTTGAGACACCCTTGGATCATCCGATTATTATTACAATCCCGTTGATCGCGTTGGAACCATGCGTAACTCACCGGCGGAGAGTTACCACGCATGAACCTACACACACTCACGCTGTGCACCACACCACATAACGTGGGAACTCCGGAGCCAACTGATGAATAGGTCCCACCTCCCACCCTCGCTCCACGTCATTGTTAGCCCTATGGGCATCAGCATCTCTCTTTCATTACTTGGTGTAACTGTAACCCCACTCCTTTAAGCTAAAGCAATAACCGTTGGTAGCTGGTTTCGTCTTTCCTCCCCTGAAACGGTGGGTCCCCCCTGCTTGTTCTCTGAATTTTGATCTCCCCTCTTCGTACATTTATCACCTCCTCAAATAACGCCGTTAATCATGACTTCACTGTTGCGCCTGCTTTCATCGACGGAAAGCGTGAAGTTCTCGGATGTCGAGCTGACGCCGTTAGTCCCGTCCCGCTTTTTTGGGGGGACCCCCGAGGTGCAATCGAGGGCTGAAAAGTAAAACGGTCGGAAATTAGTTAATTTTTTAGTAGCTATAGGCTTTTTGAGGGGGGTTCATGGGAATGGTAATAAATAAATACGGAAAAATCTGATCTAATACTATTATGCTCGACGCGTGGCGCCTCGTAATGAAGCACTTGCACCGAGATACTTCACGATGCTGGCAAAGTACCTTTCCTGCTAATAGACCAAAATACCCTTGGAATCGGATCGGACGCGTGACTCAACGGGTGCCCACTTGCACGGTTGCACCGAGATACTTCATGATACTCTTTTTTATTGTTTAATCTGGACTAAAGCGAAAAACAACGACGATTAACCAAACCCATAAACCCAAATCAATCAGGGGTTAATTAAGTAATTCCAACATGGATCACTGCTGTTGCTGAGCTAAAAATAAATAAAGTGAAAGAAATTAGGGTTGGCAATGGGTCTGGTTTATTAGTACGGCTTGGACTTAATCCAAATCCAATTTGACCATCTGCTGGCCCAACCGTGTATAGGGTGGGCCGGGTTGCCCCACTGACATTCCCTAGAAATCATGAAAAAGAAAGGTTAAAACAATAACATAAATAGAGACAGACCGCAGACGACAGTTTCTCTCCTACTTGCTGGCCTCCTCTGTTTCTCTGTCTTTCTTTCCGTCTCTCTCTCTCTCTCTCTGTATTATTGCAGACATTTTCCTGTAGTTTTATGGGTGGCAAACCCCAAGCTCTTCTCTACTCGTCGTCTCTCACTGCGATCTATCAAGGCAAAAAGCCTTGTCTGGGTTACTGTTCTTCATCACCTTCTTCCTTTCTATTTACCCTGTTTCTACCAACCAAGTAATGCAGTTGAGCTTTTCTCTCATTAGAACTTAGAAGAAGAGATAATCCACACAATAACCCAGTCAAATCCTGCACTACCATTTCATCCAAACCTTCTAATATCTTCTTTATACCACAAAAAAGGACATCACAAGGAAAGGGAAGATCAACAAAATAAAGCGGAAGAAAACTAAGGGAAAGCCTGTATGGATTTTCTCTCCTGCTATTCCTCTCTGACCCTGAGCTTTTTCCTGTTATTAATCTTCAGAGGTAAGCACAGCATTTCCCTCTTGGGTCTTTGGTTTCATGATATGGGTTCCTCTTACATTCTCAGATAACGATGTGTTTATAATAAACCTCCATTACTCCCTTTCAGGGGTTTCAGGGACCACATTCACTTTTGTGAACAAGTGCGACTACACAATTTGGCCAGGAATCCTTGCCAATGCGGGCAGCCCGAGATTAGATAGTACTGGTTTCGAGCTTACACAGGGCAGTTCTCGTTCCTTTCAGGCTCCAACAGGCTGGTCTGGCAGATTCTGGGGCAGAACAGGCTGCAACTTTGACGGATCTGGTCAGGGCAGCTGTGCAACCGGCGACTGTGGGTCGGGCCAGATAGAATGCAAAGGTGCAGGTGCGGCCCCGCCGGCGACGTTGGCCGAGTTTACGCTTGGCTCTGGTAGTCAGGACTTCTACGACGTTAGCCTGGTTGATGGGTACAACCTACCTATGATCGTTGAAGGGACCGGAGGACAGGGGACGTGTGCATCCACCGGGTGCGTGACCGATTTGAATCAACGGTGTCCGACCGAGTTGAGGGTTGGAGAAGGCGAGGCATGTAAGAGTGCTTGTGAGGCTTTTGGGACCCCAGAGTACTGCTGCAGTGGTGAGTTCAATACGCCTGCGACATGTCGGCCGTCGGTATATTCTGAGATGTTCAAGTCGGCGTGTCCGAAATCGTATAGTTACGCGTATGACGACGCTACTAGTACGTTTACATGTACGGGAGCAGATTATACCATTACATTCTGCCCTTCTTCTTTGACAAGGTAAGGAACGAAGAAAGTGAGGAAGAAACACAATATTAATCTGGGTTCTGTACTTCTGTTAGATCCATCAAACATCTCAGATGGATTTTATGATTATCCGTTTTTTCTATAAATTTGGTTTCTATTTTTATGGTGAAAAGACTCTATGCTTCTTTTTCCTTCTGATTTTTGAGTATTTTCTTGCATCAAATCAATATTCCTCCATGTCCATATTCAGACTCTCTTTCCTTTTTCTTTAGTTAGATTTGATCTGTTGTGTGGCTTTTCCTTTACTGGTCTTGTTAGCATTTTTCTTTATACTCTTTAGCTAATCTTTCTTTTATCCCTTCCTTTTTTTAACTTTTTGTCTATCCTCTTGTTTTCTGTTATCACTTAAGTTTACACAAAAACTTATGAAAACAGCTGAAACTGATTTGTTTAACTCTCTCTCTCTCTCTCTCGCTACAGCCAGAAATCTTCTAGAGATTGGACGCCAAGAACGGCAGGGACAACAGATGGGTCAGGAGCTGGAGCAGGGGCAGGGGCAGGAGCAGAGGCGGGATCAGGGGCGGGAGCGGGGGCGATGTTGGCCGACGACTCATGGTTAGCAGCCTTAGCCACCGGAGGCTCAACCAGGACTCGTTCTTCTGCATTCCAACAAACGTTGATCACTGCTGCAACCACTGGCATATTCATTCTCTCTTTCCTCATCTACTTGTTATAGACTTGTAGTTTCTCTGGGAGGACACCATTCTCGCTTCTGAGTTCGAGACAGTGCTCACTGAAACGACCGACATTTACAGCTCTGTTGGGTTGTGTACTGGGGCAATGGACTACTGGGCTTAGGAAGGAAAACCGACAAAATCCAGATTGTAAATCATCCATTTTGAGATTCCAAATGTTACATATCTCTCTCTCTCTCTCTCTCTCTCTCTGAGTTTAACTTGTTTGGAAATTATGAAGTGTTTTTATTTTCCAAGTCTAAAGAGTCTGTAAATGTGGTGTTTTTATTTTCCAAGTCTAAAGAGTCTGTAAATGTGGAACCCAAGCAATAAACAAGGAAAGGAGAGTTCTTTGGTTTAATAAAAAAGATTTAAAGAGTAAAGCGCTTGCTTTAACGTGAATCTGACTGAGATGGTTGTTGGGCATGCAATAAAGAACACTTGGCTGAAACTGCAAGCCTGGTAGTTTGTCTGCTATGTGAGACAGAATGATCATTCATGTTTTAAAAGAAGGGCTAGGCTTTGATTTTAAATCTTTCTTTATTTTCTGTTCTTGGGTGTTTGTTAGGAGGGTGTGCATGTGGGGTTGGAGTTCTTCTTGGTGGGAATGTCAAATGATGCTGGTTAGATTTAAAATCATGATTTTGGGGATTCTGCCCAACTGAAAATTCTCCTTTTACGGTGAGGACCATTGTCCATTTTACTTTAGTTTGAGTATCATATGTGTGAGCTTCCATTTGCATATCTTAACCATAATTTACAACTTGGAATGATTAAAGTTTTGAAGATTCGGATTAAATACAAATCCACCCTGTGATGAGTCAAGAATGCAATTATAATCCAAGGTTATTATAATCCTTCTCATAATGCAGTCTAGGTCGCATGATAATATTGCATACCCATGATATGGCCTTTAATGGGTTCCAATTGATTCTATCATTTTAGTAATAGCCCCAAAACATTACCTTAGAGTCCATTTGGTTTACAGTTGGAATCTAAATGGGAATTGGAATAAATTGGGATGGGATTTCATTCTCAAAGAAAGCCATTTCCTTAAATGGGAGAATGTCATTCTAGCAGAAATGGGAATAGGATTCTGAATCTGTCCAACCAAACAGTTTAGAATTGAAATTGCCAATTCTGATTCTAATTCCAAACCTCTATTTCCATGAACCAAATGGGCTCTTAGATCATTAATTCTCCACAAATTTCTACCTAAACAAAAAAAAAAAGAAAGTTAATTATATCCAAGACAACACCCCAAAATTTTGTGGTTGACTGAACTGAAGAGAGGCAGTAGAACAGAGACCAGTTAAGTATAATTTCCAATTCCAACAACTTGGATGATACATCTATACGGAGTGAAGCCCTATTTTGAGTAGTGGTGGTTGTAAGGAGTCTGCTTCTGTCTCGTGGAAATGGAATGAAATAAAGACTAAAGAGATCCAAATGCATGCAGGAAGCAATAAGGCAAATTGCATCCAAAGGGCCGGCCACAGATGAGATTCTAATTTTAGTGGACTGCAGGTGGGTGATTGACCAACTCGTGAAGGGGAGCCACTCAATGAAACAATAAAAAAAAAAAAAAACCAACTTTTCCTACTGGAAAAAGGTTGCTAGCTAGGTTCATTTTTAGGGAGGAGAATCGATTTGAATGGTTGGGAGCTTGGGGCTTCCCAGATTAATTCAACTTTCCCTAACAGTCACCACACCACACACAATGAAAAGCAATCAGCTTTCGGCTGCTCTTGAGTCTTGCCCACCAGCACCAAGCAGGGAAGCAGTACTCTTTGTATGTTGCACAGAAGGAAAAGTGTTTAAAACTGAAATTGCTTTTATTGTTGTCATGGTCTCCATATGCATAAACAGGTTTCTGTTGGAGTGTAACTTTATCCGGGAAGAGAAAATTTTGAGTTTGACTGTACAAGTTCGACAGCCTTTACTCCACAGGCTCTCTACGTTTGATAGCTTGTACTTCCATATATGGAGCTTTCCTGTCATTAACGATGATGAAGGCTTAATTGTATGCAAATGACGTGTCATTTGGAGAGCTTGCCCCTACCCACTCGTGATCCACTGATCCCTGATCCTGTTCCTACCTACAGGGGTAAGGGGTCAGACTGGCTTGGTAATTTGGCCTCAGCCAACTTCCTCTCTAATGAATGCCTTGAGTCTCTTGTTATCAAAGGTAGTGTTTGGCAATTCTTTTCATGCGGTCTAGCTTCTGGTCTTGGACAATTCGGGAAGACCAGAAACCAGTCACTTTTGTTTGGTAATCAAAAGTTGGAAAAATCAGAAGATGCATGCACCGAAAGACCGAAAATACCAAATTTTAAGAAACTTCAAATGAAATGTTTTTGTCTTTTTGTTCGATAAATAATCTCAAAACGTGCTTTTAAAAATAAGATTTTAAAAAGCTTAATATGTCTTTTGGCCATCTAAACTACAGAAAGATCTTTCTAAAAAGACTTACCAAAGAAAGTATAAACGATTCAACATGACCAAAATTTCCTCAAGGCATTATAATAATCCCTTGCCACACCCCAACACCCCAAGAAAGAACAGACACACAAGCCATGGGAATAAAAAATTTGTCCATGTGAATATGTGATGTTTAGGCTGAGTTTGGAAAGAATACAAATGCAAATATGTAGAGTGCAAAACCTTATATTTTGTATTATTTTGTATGTATTTATATTGTACATATTTGCATTTGGAGTGGTGTGGGTGTTTAATTTGGAGTGGCAAGAGACCATCACGATGTAAACGACTCTATTAGCTGCATTTGATGGTTGTGTTAGGGGCTGTATAACCCATGGTAAGCATCCCACGTCAATCATAATGTATATGCTCTACAATCATTCTAACCTCTTACTTTGTTGCCGTGTAGCTGATGTGGGGCGCTATTTTTATTGGTTAAACAGCCACATGTGGTAAAGATAGCTTTTTTGTTTTTTACTTTTTCTCAAATTTAGTTCAAAGGGACTGATTTAAGGTCTATCCAACCTCTGAACCGGTTGAGACCTCGAAACACCTCTTGTAGGGGCATATCGGGAAGCCCACGATATGATATGTATCAGCCACTACGACCCAATACGTATCAATATTTGACCTTTGGTTGAAATATAGCTCCAATATTTCAGCATGAAAAATTTTCCACGTGTTTTATATTGAAATTGGACTTGATGCCCGAAGCCACTAACATAGATCCTTGTTTTTTGCCATTAAAAAAAGAATCCTACGGTTGGTTCACTTATCACATCGGAATATTTTGGTGAACAGGTTTTTAAAATATAGATAACAAAATACTTTGGTGTAGTTACATAAAAAAAGAATTCAAAATTTCCATTGCCAATGGGCAGTGGTATCGAATGGTTTGAAGGGTATTTTGTATCCTTCACTAGTGTTGTCTGTCATTTTGCTTCAAACTTGACCTTATCTTGTTTGTTCGTGAAAAATAAAATAAGAAATAAAATGGTGTGGTCTTACTTTATATGTAGGAAAATGGAGGTAGGAGGAGGATTATGTATCTGGGATGAGGTAGGAAACAAAATAATGTGTTCTTCACTTTATATGAGAGAAAATCGATGTAGGTTGTGCAATTGTGCAAATTTTGCATCAGTTTTTTCAGATGCAAAATTTACATTTCTGGTGAATGCAAATGAAACAAAAAAAAATACAAATCTTGCATGAAGTAGAAATGCAAATTATAAATACAAACAAATGGATGCAAAACTAAACCAGGTACAAAATTTGTATCTGGTTCAGATTTACATTGCAACCAAAAAACAGCCTTGAGAGGGTTTTTACCAATTAAGGAAAAGGAAAATACATAAATAAAGTGATAGTAAGCTTAAAAAATTTAAGGGCTGTACTTTAATTAATGAGTCCAAGTCACCCATGGCTTGCAAATTGAACAGTGGAAGTGATCCCAATTGCAGTGCAAAAAGCAAATGAAATCCCAGGTAAAACGGTTTTTCTTTTGGTGGCTTGTTTTTCTCTGGTATTACATGATGAGTTCACTTTTCCTATGAAATTGAGATCTGCTCCTCACAAATCACAAATCACGCCTCACAACCACATCCCACCCTGAATTGGGAACATCTATGAATAATAAATATAAATATGGGAAATGCTCCCGATGCGCAATCAGGACATACTGTGATATCAGTGTGAAGCACACCTTCTTGGGAGCAGATCCCGATTCCAGGATGATACTCTATGAAAAATCAACATATCAAAAATTCATTTCAATCAATACTAATTTACTTTCTTTTTTCTTTTTGGTTTCCAAGGACAACATAGAGGGATATTGCTCATCCCCCAAATCCATAACCTCCCAACTCTAGTGCAGGCAGAATTCGATCCCAATCTCCCTACAACCAGTAAAACACCTTATAACTTGCCAGTTGACACTTTGCAATTAATACTATTTATTTTTTTTTTTTGTTTGCCAATTCTCCAAGGAACATTATTATCCAAGGTTTTTAACCCACCATTTACCTAGACGGTTGAACCGTCACCTAGTCAACTTTTCAAGTCCGGTTCTCATCAAACCCGGTGTTTGTTAAAAACCGTTGATAAGTCAGCAAACCGGATGACTCAAACGGTTGAACCATCGGACCGGCAACCCAGTAAGTGGGCAACGATCCAACTGTCGACCTATACTTTTTAGTCCATTTTTTAGGTTTAAAAAATCAAAAAAAAAAACCTCCAAAAGTCCCAACTCAAGCCCCCCTTTTTTACATTTTTTTTTCAGTTTTTCTCACATTATTTTGCATTTTTTTATATATATTTTTTGTAAATATTAGGTATTTTTATAAGCTTTAAGATATTTCAGACATTTATTTAGCTATTTATAATTTTATTTTATTTTCTATATATATATATATATATATATATTAATTATGACAACACCGGACTCAATCGTTTGACTCACCCGGTCAAACCGATGACCCATGACCCATGACCCATTGGAAAAACCGAATCGACCTCCAGGTTGGTTTTAAAAATATTGTTATTATTAATTATTATCATATAAATATAAACCAGTAAAAATAGCAAAACTCCCCTATTGTAGCAAAAGTCCATTGTTACACAATACACATCTACAAGGGGACTCGGGTGAGGAGAGAGGAGCATAGCGCACGGATCCACTGACCTTATTGCAGTTCAGATTTGATCTCTTACTTCCACTTTCCAAGGAATTGGGATCTGCTCCCCACCGAACGCTCCTCACACCAAACTCACAGCTACATCCCACTGTGTATTAAGAACATCTTCATGAACAATATCAAACAAGTATGGGAATACATGGCTGGAACATTCTGTGAGACCAATGTGAGGAGACAATCCAAGCTCCTTTCCAATGGATGACTAGCAACAGAATTCAGATTGGCACCCCATAAAACACACCGCACAGGTGCTCTGCAAACATCTCAGCATGCATTGGAAACATCTTCTGTACTTGTCATGGGAGATGTTCCCAATACATGGTTGAGATGTGCTGTGATGTGATGCATGCAAATTCCAACTATCAGGTACTCGGCTGCGAATTGGGATTTGCTCCTCAAACAGGGCGCCTCAGAACGAGCTCACAGGAGGCACATCCCAATGTGCATTGGGAACATCTCCCGTAAACAATAACATATAAGCACGAGAGATGTTCCCAATGTATGTATGATGGGAAGTGCCTGTGAGGCGCCATGTGTGAGGAGAAGATCCGGTCTCCTCGGCTGTTCAAGCCACATTCCAATAAAACACTTTAACATGAAAAAGCAAATTACACATCTGCGGAGCATCAGATTTGCTTCTTTTGACATTCCCCTGCATCATCTTCCTGGAGTACCTTGCCTCCTTACAAGGGCGGGTATTGGTGTTTAGGCTGCATTAGAATTCAGAATTCTGAGGTGGAGTACTTACTAGCGAGTGAGAATGACTATTCTTAAAAGCTATAGCCCACGTGAAGACTAAAGATGAGATTCCTTCCGCCGTGTCAAAAGATTGAATGCACTCTCGTCTCACCCAATTAAGTAACAAAAGGAATTATATATGAAAGGGATCTAAATCTAATGAAAGATAATAATTAAATAAATTTCTTTTACCAACGGATAAACCTAATTACTAGGAAAGTAGGAAGTATGGGCCTAGTCGTGGTGGATACTGTAAAAAGTAAAAACAAGTGTTTCTCGAGCCCATCGACACACCCACGTAATGAGTATATCGACGGCCAAAAGTATCTGTAATCGGTGGGTTACGTGAATGGAAGAAACTAGTGTGGTCCCCATGCATCTATAGCCCTACAGTAAGTCAAACAACAAGATGATACATATACAATCACAATTATGTCCCAACTTAATGTGGGCCAGAAGGAAAATCTGCAACTGCAAGATTAGTTTTTCTGTTGTTATTTCGGTTGTGGTGGTGGGTGCTGTGAAGAGAGAAGATAAAAAGAATGCAATAGGTGCCAAAACAACTTAGAATGTGATCCTGACCAGCAGTGGGTAGCAGTGATCCTTTTCGTAGTTGGGCCAGAAATTATCTCCATCTGAAAATCTCTGATGAAGCTTCCAAACTTGCTGGTCATAGTTCTCAGTTATGCCGAATTGCAAGCCAATCTCCTTGACTTTCTCCAGAAATTTGCTCAACGAGTCACCCCTTTTGGGGCTGAAAAATATGGCTTCAGAATCTGCCGATTGCTTAAGAAGGGATTTGACGGTTCGTGCAAGACCTTCATGGAATTTCTTGAAGAATGTGCTGTTAAGATACAAAATTAGATCATGAAATTGAAAGAACATATGCTTTCCATGAACAAGTAGAGAACAGCCTGTGTGCTTGTTCCATGGATTAGAATGACAGTCCAATGGCTTTTGTCAGGAAGTAAGCAATCTTGCATCCTCATACCATTTAGGCTTGAAACCGGCATTAAATTCTGTCTAATCCTCATACCAGCTAAAATTCAAAGATGATTGGAGTGGAGTGGAACTTAAGTACCTATTAGTTATAAGGATGAATTACCACTGCATAGTGGTAACATGTACATGCAGAGGTTTAATCACATGGATCGACCACGATGTAATGCAAAAACTGCATCAAACGCAGTTCATCATAAATATAGGTAACTAAAAGCAGAACATTCATTCATGTTAGATGATGCTTTTCTTTTTCTCTTGGAGATGAACAGGTGAAAGAAGCACACTTAAATTATAACATGGAAAGGCTTCCAATAAGGAAGAAAAAGTACCAGTCACTGGCGACAATGATATCAAATGTGTCTGGGACATTTGAGCCTTGCTCCTGATTCCAGTGCAATATCATAGACTTCACTTTTGTATCACCAAATGCTCTAGAGTTAGCATCTATATTTCGCTGAATATCTGAATGTTAAGGGTGAAAACAAAAGCATGATTTTGGAATTCATAATAGTAAACTACAAGGACAACAAAGCCAGTTAACCAAAATTTAGTCATTAATTAATAGTGACACCATTCAAAGTGTCAACAATTGAGTAGAATGCCCTTGAGCTAGAGCAATGAATGATCAGGTATAGTATTGAAACATATTATCGTAAATAGAACAATTTCTAAAACAGATAATGATGACAAGAAGTAATATTTGTGCAGATGAGTTGACAGGTTCAGCTTTTCTCACGCCTGGGATAGCCCTGGAACTGGAGAAGAATTCAAGGAGAATGAGCAAGGCTCCAGTTTGGCATGGACCACATGCCTGATTATCAGGCAACATTTTTCACAACCCGTCAACAGGAAGCAAGACAGGAAATGGCAAATCTTGAAAAGAAAATTTTGAACTGACAAATGGTTAGATATGCAAAGATCACAGGAAATGTGCCTCAGACTAGACAATCTTGACTATTAGTGGCAGTGTTACCCTAGTAAGTGGCAGAGGTGACAACTGCCAAGTACTCAGGTGTCCATAGGTCTCTGTGAATCAAGGCCCAAAAATCATGGCACATACAATAATAAACTAAAATAAATAATTCAAGAAAGTAAAAATAAGAAAATCAAAGTGGAGGTTCTTTGCTGAATATTTTTTCTTGCCATTATTTGTTTACAAGTGGTAAGTGACAAGGTCCCTTCCTAATATTGGAGCTTCATGGATAAGCTACAAGATGTCTTGCTGAGTGCCTGTTTGGATCCTTTTAATCTCTAGGTTTTCTGGTAAAAATGCAGGCAGCAGATATATAAAATGTTTCATCTAAAGAATGTTGTGGCCAAGGGAGTATAGAATGTCTCATAATCACACACACCCATAAAAAATCTCTATGTTGATCCAAGTGCCAGACAATATGCTAAATTAAAAAACTCTGAAACAAGATCAGAACTTAACCAGTTAATTGAAAGGGACAGATATTGTTTTCATTAAATTTGCAAGGTAGATTAGGGCTGCTATCCACTGGGATGAGTGAACATGTGGTCGACCCAGAGGGCACCATAGCTGATGCAGGGTATGGATTGTGGCATCATTTTTCCATGAGGCAGAAAAGAGAGGGAGATCTGAAAAAGAGCCTGATTTTTTTGATAAAGAAGATGCCTGATCAATCTGATTGGGCCTGTTTTCTCCAATAACATAGTTCAACATTATATGAAACATTTTATTTAAGTTGAAACATTAATTTATTACAACAAAAGTTACAGTTAAATAACCATTCTCCATTCTCAATGATGAGGGCATTAAAGAGTCCAGGTTTGACAGAGGAATATGACAGAGAAGTGAGATGAAGTTTACCAATAGGCATTGCATAAGCAATGACTCCCTCTTTTCTTGTTTGTTTTTTTTTTTTTTGAAGAGGTAAAGTATCGTATTAGTTTCAAAAGTACAAGACCCTGTACAATGAGAAGTAGTGTTTTAAAAGCATAACGCACACAAGAAGCGCAAACGTCCAAATGCGCCTAAGGCGCAAGGTGAGGTGCACAAAATTTTTGAAAATTAAAAAAATATATATAAGAAACATATAAAATTCTAAAAAAAATCAGGAAATTAAAAAAAAAAAGTTAATTATTAGTTCAACTGATTAGATTAGAGGTAAAGGCTTAGTTCATGGCTTCTTAAGATATGATATGATCATATGACATATGACAATGCATTCAGCAATCTACAGAAATCAGAATTAAATAATTAAAAGGCAAAGACTACAAATAACACATTCAATATAAATATAAAAGAATTAAAGAATAAACCAATGAGGACTGAGTACAATAAAGATTAAATAAGATATAAAAAACAAGAATACAAATATAAAATAATTAAAGCTAAAAGGCATTACCTCTCGGTATCGGTATCCTCTCCATGGCTCAAACATAACACGATCAATATAAAAATTAATCATTTATAGTGAACAAGCAAATATGGATTGAGATTTGACAATAATAAAAGATAAAGAATTAGTAACTAATTCAAAACATTAAGTGTTAAACCTGAGTCCCAGTCCGCAATCTATCTATTAAGCATTAAATATGTCAAATATAAATTTTCTTTCTAATGTCAAAAAAGAACTTCTTTCAGCATTAGTAGTTCATAACAATTTTTGTCAAATGTTGAAAGAGAGTTTTGATTCATGTAGTTCCACCGATCCCATCTCTCTAAAAGATAATAGATGGTATCAATGAATGGTTATTGTGAGAGATGGATAGGGCTGGAAATGATTTGGTATTTGAGGGTGGTTCGTTGACATGGGGAGATGTCGGTCGTGCTTTTTGAGTTGAAGGACCAATAAGATATACAAGACCCAGATGTTCAACTTCAAAGTTACGAGCAAAATCAACCAATGCCAAAAGACCTAGCACATTAAGTTCCCAATTTCATTTGGAAGATGAAGATGAACTTGACATAGAAGAAGTAGAAGAAGAGAATGGCAATCACCACAAATCTGATGAGTATGAAAATGATGTAGATTTTCCAAGTGAAGAAGAGGAAAATGACAAGGATGAATCAGTGTTGAAGTCTTGAAGAAAGAAAAATCAAGAATGGATGAATGGACATAACGGCATATGATTTTCAGATTTTGTAGACAGTAGAGTATTACTTCTATATAGGTTGTGCTCTGTGATTGTTATGAACTAATGATGAAAGAAGTTCTTTTTTGACATTAGAAAGAAAATTTATATTTTGACATATTTGATGCTTAATGGATAGATTGTGATACTGAGGCTCAGGCTTAGCAATTAATGTTTTGAATTAGTTACTAATTCCATATTTCTAATTATTCTCAAATCTCAATCTTTATTTGCTTATTCACTGTAAATGATTAATTTTTATATTGATTGTGTTATGTTTGAGTCATGGAGAGGATACCTATATCGAGAGGTAAGTGTCTTTTAGCTTCTTTAATTATTTCATATTTGTATTTTTGTTTCTTATATCTTATTTAATCTTTATTATTCTCAGTCCTCGTTGGCTTATTCTTTAATTCTTATATTGAACGTGTTATTTGTAGTTTTTGTCTTTTAATTATTTAATTCTGATTTCTGTAGATTGCCGATTTCATTGCCATATGTCATATGATCATATCGTATCTTAAATTCATGAAGCCATGAACTAAGCATTTGCCTCTAATCAAGGTTTAAAGTATCGATACAATGCGCCCCGTATCGGGCGTATCGTATCGTATCTTTTGAAAAAGTACGCCCCTACAGGTGTTTCGGAACCCCACCTTTTATTAATAAAAAAAACTATTTTTAGCTTCCTAAAAACCAAAATTTGAAAAAAAAAACTAAAAAAAAGGCATTCCGTGTGTTTCTAAGTATCGATACGATACTGCCGATACGCAGTAGCATATCAATACTTTAAACCATGCCTCTAATCTAACCAATTGAACTAATAATTAACCTCTTTTTTGAAATTTTCTTGAATATGTTAGAACTTTTATATTTTTTCTAATTTTTAAATTTTCAAAAATTTTATGCATCTTTTTTAAAAAGGCATGTGCCTCGCCTTGCACCTCGCACCTCAAGTGCATTTCGACCCTTGCACTTTTTGTGTGCCTTTTGCTTTTAAAGCACTCAAGTTCAACATGAATGATGATCAAGGAATTGAGAGATGAACCATAAACAATAGAGCTCAATAGCAAACTTTATAGAAAGATCAAAGATGAAATTCAAATGCTCAAACTAAAGACTCAAGACTCTATGGTAAAATATCCAGTAATTAAATCTTCTAGGCCATAGTGTCACAATCCGTCTTATCTGCTTTCAACCTAAGTGGTTGGCTAGATCCTTTTAGGCATTTCTAGAGCATTCTAGCCAAGAGTGGAGAGTTCTATGGTGTTCCCAATGGGCCTAGAAGGCTAGAACATAGAACACTCTAGAGTCATGTAGATTCTTCATGTGCTAGAGTTGCCTAGAACAGCCTAGGCATTCTTTACATTGATATTTGTAAATATCCATGTAAAGTGTGTAGAAAGTGAAGAATGCATAGTTTCTGGATAGGTTCTAGATGGTTCTTTTAAGGAGGTGAACTTGTATCTAGATGTATCTTCTTTGAAGGTGGATTTCCCTATAAATAGGGGTTCCATCCCTCAGTTGTGAACAACCAAGAAGAGTGATCCAAGAGCTCACTTGCTTGTGGGAACAGGGGACAAGTTCTGCATGACTTTGGCTAGGAGCAAGCCAGCAAGGTTGGGTCGTGGCTGTCAATGAGTTTGATTAAGGTTAGACCCAGGTAAATGGAAATTCAATCTAATCAATTAAGGCGGCCACATGGTAATCATTATCATTTTGGCCTGGGAAGGTCAGCTGATGCCTAGGCAATTAATATAAACGTATAAAAGGGGGCTAATTGGGTTGTTTAGCAAAGAAGCCTATATGACCCAGGAAGCTTCAATGTGGCAAGTTAGTTTGGGTCTAAAAAGGAGTCACTGGATTCTAATGGTAGGATGGTTATAAGGTTGACACCGACTGCATGAGCAAACATATGGCTGATCTTGAGGGTTCCATATCTGTTGAAGAGTTCATATCAGCTGCAGGATCCCTCTATGTGACAAGTGTAGTACATTTGATTTTCAAGAAAAAGAAGAAACGTTTTAAATAAGAGGAAGAGACTAATTTATAGATCTATACTAGTATTGACCCAAAATAAGTTACAAAACAAGCATCAATATATGGGGAGGGGGCACTAAATGTATATATCTGTACCACCTGCATAGTTGGTTGCCTAAGTAATGTTTTAACCATAGTTTTCAAGGCGCCAAGACGAGGCTAGGTGACAGGGGGGCGCCTTGTCGCCTAGGCAATGGGTTTTTTTAAAAGTAAAAACATGTATCCTAGGGTAGTTCACTAGGTTCCATAATCATATTTCCTTAATAAGTATCCATAATTTTCATAAGAAAAGTATAAACTTCATGTTAAAGTATAGAATACCAACATATTCCAACATATTCATGAGAAGAAAAAGAAGAAAGAAAAGAAAATTACAAAAAAATATAGGGGCTGAACCCCTATTCCTGTTATAGGAAAAGAAGAAAAGAAAAGGTGGAAGAATAAGAAGAAGAATAAATTAGTATATAAACACACAAATTAGTAAAGTAAAAGAAGAAAATGTGTTGATTGGACAACATTTTATGTTCTTCCTTATTGGTTCAGGTTTTGAAGTCTTTGAGCGTTCAATACAGCATTTAGCAATGTTTGTGTTGATTAAACCCTAACAAATAAGAAAATAATAAAAAGAAATTAGTATATAAACACACAAAATGAATATTTTAGTTTTAAAAAGGTCTATTTTATAATTATAACCTCAAAAAATTAAGAATATAAAAGTTTTTCAAAACACTCTATAGAAAACTACTTGGCAATTAAGCGAGGTGAGACTCCAAGGGCGCCTTGTCGCCTTGACGACTATGGTTTTAACTATATCAACCCTTCAGATATCAGAATTTAATTAACAACATTTTTAGATGATATTTAGATATCACCAACCAGCACCTATAAGAAGTGATCTTTTACAAATTTAAGGGGCAAGAAGAGCTAGGGGAAGGCCAAAAATGACATGGTTTGACATAGTAAGAAATGATTTAGTTTAGAGGTTCATAATTTAACAATGGATATTGCACTGAACAGAACAGAATGGAAAAACAGGATTGATGTAGCCAACCCCATATAGTTGGGACGAGGCTTGGATTAGAATAGGATAAACTCAACACTCAATACTATAGGCTGCTCAACATTTTAGTATTCAAAACTTCCAATCTAGCTTAACCAGATCATATTTGAACATGATTCAAATTATGATCTGAAAGACTGACATTATGATGGGAAAATGGCATGAAGATATCAAAAAGGCATAATGAAGATGCCTCTTTACTCATGGAAATACAGATGACTGATGCACTCCATAATCCAAAAGAAGAAAAATGAACAATTTAGTGGAATAATTACAGAATATATAAATTCTAGATTTCAGCATCTGCCAAAAAAGAGGCAAATTGGAAAGAATTCATTTTCTCAATATCCAATATGTAATGTATTTCAAAAGCTATAGCTGAGCAACTTAAAGGATCTACCAGGTGAAATTATGATTGCACAATGGTCAGAAGAAAGAAAAGGGTAGCATTCATATGGATGCAAAATCCAATCTGTGAGTGGCAATGATCAAGGCAACAACCCAGTCAGAGTACAATAAGTGAAAATTTGGATGGCAATGATTCTCTAACAATGTGAGCCAAAGGGGATAATGGCCTTCAAATAATGAAAGATTCTTTTAACTGTGATTGATGATCCAGTGTTTCTGTATGGGAAAGTGAACTAAGATTCAATGTCCAATAACCAGTGTGTGTGCACAGACCAGCAAATCTTCTTCACTGAGGATATATCAGGCATGGGCAATATTAGATATTGAAAAGTTCCACTTGAAATATGATTTCAATATAGTTGGTCAAGTAGTGGGCTCCTGGGAATTTCAATAGATGGCAAGCAATGATGGTTGGAAACTAGGAACCGAAACAGTTTTTCAACCATCCACTTTCTTCAAACGACCATTTACTGGGAACTGCTTCAGAACTCAAGAAAACAAAAAAGAGAAAGACCAAAGTGGTAGCATAAGCTGAACCAGTATCTGAAACAACGGTGTGAACTATGGAGGGATGAATCCAATGACAATTATGAAATAAATGTAGATTACTGCAATAAGTTTTACCCATATATATATCACAGTGCTAAATTAAAATTAACCACATGAAACCTCTGTTTCATTGGCAAAACCTAGATCCCCAGCTTAACATATTCTAAGATGAAGAGATGAAGACAGTGGAAGAGGAAATATAGAAACTATAGCACAACCCTCATCTACCTACTGAATGGTTCTTTCTTAGCACCAACTCTCCAGTCAAGAATTATTTCTGTCCAGCCGAAAATGAGAAAAAAAACTGAAAGAAAGAATTATTTCTATTTTCTGTTTTCAAATCTTATATTTGGCTCCTTTCTTGAAGGACCTCATTCATAGAGATCAACAAAGATATAGTTAGTCAATATCAAGTAAGATTTCTATTCCAACATCTTCATTATCAATTGCACTGACCACTGACAACATATAGAAAAGAAAAAAAGTGAAATAATGAAAAAGAGAAACAAAAAAAAAGAAAGAAAAGAAAAGAAAAAACTTTTGTTACTAACAATGGGCTGCTATGAATAGAAACCTGGAACACCCAAGAAGGCAGACAGCAAGAAGAGTGTTAAAAAACACAAGAGTACTGTGTATGAAATAAATGCAGGCAGGTCATGCCACCAGCAGATAGTTCTGAATAAGGAGGTTTTAGGTTTAACAAGCCAAGCACCAAACCAATAAGAACTATCCTAGTCTTTGCAAACCATCATAATTTTGCTCCCAACAATTAGTCATATTTGTTTTAATGTCCAGAAAAAAATGCAAAACAGGAAGGTAAATTCAGAAATTGGGTGGCTATTTTCACCTAAGAGAGAATTTGCCTTTTCCTTGGAGGCTTGGATTATTGTGCCATGTTTAGCAAATCATTGATTGTAGACAGTCCTACAGTATCAGAAATTAACAGTTCTAGAAAAGGATACAATCAATAACTAGAGGGTTCCCATCAGATATTACAACTTCTGATGCATCTGTGCTTGCTGCAATAACCATTCCAGCCAATCCATAACCTGATCCTAGCTCCAATATCTTCTTGGACCTTAATGAATTTAAAAGGAACAAAGGAACAATCACAGTGAGTTGAATACATAGAGATTCTGGCATCTATTAACAATGCAAAAAAACAAAATCAAATTTTCTCAAGAATCAAATATACCAAAATTTTTAAAAACCTGAAGATATCTGCATGAGACAAGCAAAAATAAGCAAGAACATTTTCTGATGGCCAATGACCTGTACAAACATGTAAATTTATTAGTATACTAGGAAGGATTTGATTGTACAATATTTAAAAATAGGCAAGATTCTTAAGTAAAAAGTAGCAAAATAAGAAAGACTAATAAGCACATGAATAAAGCTTTTTTTCCATCATTAATAAAGCATGTGCTTAACTCAAGAACATTAAACAAAATATGGATAACCAAAGAATTAATGGATGTGTTCAAGCTTAAAATTGCTTCCTAAAGAGCAAAGCAGCAATGCTCTACTAGTCCTAGTTCACTCATTTTATGCTTAATTTAGACCTAAAAATGAAACAGTGAGTAGATAAATGGATCCACAGAACATCTACACAAATTTAATCATATAATGGAAAAAAAAAACAAAAACTCTTTGATCAATTAACACCATCAGAAATAAATAATTTTCAAGCTCACAATTTTGTTCACAGAAAATATTGTAACCAAAATAGATTTAACGAACAATCGAAGTCAACTGTGTTTACACAAAAATAAATAAATAAAATAAAAAACAGGCTCTTCTACTGTCTATATGATTCTCATCATTATCGCCTTCACATTCTGAGTCTTTGACCATCTAAAACGCATTCAGAGTATTGCTACAATGATCCCAAAACCATAGAAGCAAAACAAAAATGGATCTACAAATTAGAATTTAGATATTTTGAAATGCAAGAGACCATAAATATCATATCTATCAGGTCGGAGAAAACTTACAAACAAGCCCTGTGTTGTCAATGTCAAATCTGTTAGAGATCTCAAACTCATTCAGATCAACGCAGTTCTCTACCCTTTGACTGCACCAAAATTCCAAGCATAGTTAACACCATCACACCTAAAACATGCTCAGTTGCTCACTTCAAATTACGAGAATTATACCACATTGTTAAATTGAAAGGCAAGCATGTCTACATCAAATCTGAGTAAAGAAGCTCAGAAAGAGAATAAACAACCTCCATTAGCTTCTGAATCACAGTTGTGTGTCTTCTTTAAACACCCAAAGACACACAAACATAGGAAATTCCAATTAAACACAGTCTAGACAACTCTATACTTTCGTTCCTGAAAACCCTTTAAATTTTCTAAGTATTGGTGTTACAAAATGAGAACCACGTAAACTGAGGGAATTGTATAAGTACAGAACTCACATCATAACAAGTGAGGGAGCATTGCACAAGGGTAGAGTGTAGCGCATACAAGCATCTCTAGGACCGATCAATTGGTTCAGTTTCGACAAGGAAGAAGAACCCAACTCCCCCTCTTCATAACCATCTTCGTTGATGGGACGGCATGGGATCAAGTTAAACCCTTGAGCCGCCTTCCTAGAAATACGTTTTATGCCGATTTGACATTGCTTCTCTATCAAAAATAAAATAAAAATAAACAAAGAAATAACAGAAATTCACTTCAATATTGTATAAGAGGATAACGCAAGGATTTAACATATAAACCAGTAGAATTCAATCATTCATTATTATTACAATAGAAAAATAGAGAGGAAAAAAAAAAGCAAGAATGAAGGATCCAATCGACGGCCATAAAAACAACGAGATGGAGGGGGGAGCGGGACCTGGTAGATGGGGAGAACGTCGTCCAGCAAAAGCCCGTCGAAGAATTTCCCACCTTAGAGACGATGCCTTAACTGTATTTGTTTCTTCCATCTTCCTTCCAGATCCAGCCTTCTCTATAAGAACCGTAAGCACAAAGCATTCCCTTCAACTTTCCTTTGGTTCCGTTTTTTTATATCTTTGGTTGGTGTTTATGAGAAAACGCCACCACATCAGCGCCACATAATCGTGGGCGTTGAATAAATGCTGCCACTTTATACATAGAGAATTGCAAAAGCAGAGGCCTTGATTTATGTGTGCCTACTGTTGTGAGAATGTTCATTTTAGTCCTTCTCCTGAAAGATAGGTATTTATTCACTGAAAGATAGGTATTAACACCTAAGTGTTAATAAATAAGTTCATTATTTCATTTTTTTGGTTTTGTAAATAAATCAAGTACAAATGTTTAGCGAATAAATTCCCACAAGTCAAACCCATACTTTATTAGAGGTGAAAAGCAACTTTATGGGGTATTACTTAAAATGCCTATAGAACGTCCAATGAAATAGAAAGAGCAAAAACGTTTGAAGTAGCATTTTTAGATAAATGTTTATCTAAAAAAACACCTCTCATTTTCGGGTTATTGGCAGTTTTTCCTTTTGATCACGTGTGGAGAGTTCAAAAATGACATTTTTGGTTTGGCCCTTAGTCCCTACGCAATATTGGAAGGCGGGGCATATACGCATTCTCGTTTCCTGGCTTCTTGCCCAAGGGCAAGGCATATATGTGTTCAGCCAAGCTGGGTATTAGACTATTTGAGCTTGGAATAGTAGAAAATAGGGCTCAAATTGGGTTAAGTAGAATTATCAATGGACTCTAAAAGTCCCATATCCAAATTGTTCAATTATCTTGGATTTGGATGTTAGAACTCGCATTCAATTAATGCAGATTTAACCCTATGATCCGATTAAAATTTGAGTTTGATAAAAAATTATATAAAGTTTATAATTAATAAGTTAAATATTTTATATTTTATTACATTTACCTTACATATATAAGTTATAATTAGTTTTTCTCTTAAGCTTTTTTTATTTTTTGATTATTTTAAACACAATAAGATGATTGTGGATTAGAACAGAATCCAATCTGAAATCCAACATGATAATCGGATGTGGATGTGGATATAGAGGTTTTATAGGATGTGGATGAATATATACCTTGTTTGATCTGAATCCAATCTGTTTATAGCCCTAGGCTCAATCTCAATTTGGGTTAAAAATACTTGCTCAAATTCGGCTTGATACAAAAGCTCATATGTTCAAGCTCAACTTGGCTCAAGTTTGATATTGAACAAAGCTTCATATGAAAAATAAAAAGTTATACATACAAAACCAAAAAGTTATATAATATTTTTATATGCTTTGTGCCTCGACTTAAATAGAAAATAACAAAATAATGGCTTTGTACATGTATTGATTTGTAAAAGACTATATAATATGTTTATTGGACTCTTGATTGATGCATTATTATAAAATTGCATGATATCAATTTATCTTGTCATATTAATTGTAATTTTTTTCATATATAACATTAAAATATACATTTTTTATGTACTTATAAACTATTTATCTATTTTAACCTTAAATTTGGTGTTATTAATGTATTTATGGAATTTGTATGTATTTATACAACATAACACGTGTTCTCACATTTTTCGTTTGTATTCATACGTTTCCAAAGCGCATTTGTATCCATATCCATATTCAAGTTGTCTGATATGATACCAAATACCAATATTTTAATCTTTATATATATATACTATTTGAGCTCAGTTCGATTAGCAATTGAGCCTATATATTAGGCTTGCTTGTGAATAGTTTGATTTGCATCCACCCCTATTCTTGCTCCAAATCATGCTCTTGTCTCCAAAGGCTTCATTTGTTTTTTGGTAAATAGAGGGAGGTAAGATGGTCAACATCAGCTTACTTGCATTTGCAAATTGAAAATTGTAGGCCATACAATAAAAGATTTTCTCATGGGTCATTTACTCAAGTAAATGGTACCCATCTCTTAGGTGAGTAAGTAATTTTTCCATTTGGGGAAGTTAATAAAATATCGTTGGACAAAATTACTCTTTCTAATAATGAAATTTATGGGTAAAAGTGATCAATTGTTTAATTTATTTGAATGAATTTATGCAAAATTGCATATTAGTACCTTGTACTTTATGCCTAGTCTTACTTTGGTCCCTGAACTTCAAAACATGTCATCTTAGTCCATGTCATTAGCGGTATCAATTATCTCTATCACATAATGACATGTGTGACTTAAAACTTTTAAAATATCAAAATTACCCTATGAAATAAGACACTATTCAGTATCTTCTTCCTCAAGAATTAATATTGAACCAAAGCAATGATGAACAATCCTAAACCCACCACCCACCTTTTTAGTGAAGAGACTTTTGTCACAGTTGGAGGCGAACTATAAATCATAATTACAAACAAATGATGCAAAACTAAAGTGGTGCAAAATTTGTATTTGATTCAATTAGCTCTGCAAACAAACAGAACCTCCCTCAGGAGTGAAACCGCCCACCAATTTTTGTCTCCATTAGTGAGAGTCACGGCGATGCTGATTGTCTAATTTGTGTTTGTTTTTTATGCAGTTTTCGTGAGGACAGTCTTAACCACACGTTGATTAAAGGAAATACTTTGTGCTTGAATTTTCCAAGGAAATACTCAGACAGTTTGAAACCCTACGCACTCAAATTAGTATTGAACAATCACAAGTGCTTCAAGCACATCTAGCTACAGTTCGGTTAACCAAACCGTAGGTTTTTTTTAACCGAATCGGTATTATCATTTTTTGGAAAATCGGTAATCGAAATTAAATCGAAGTCAATCGATTAACTGTCGGTTTGGTTCGTTAGTTTTTTGGTTTTTTAATTTTTACAATATATATTATAAAAATTATAAATATATATAAAATAATAAATAATATATCATATATTATAAATATATATATTTATATATAATACATATTTATTAATTTATAATATATATAAACATAAAATATATATAATATACATAAATATATATAATATATAGAAATATATGTATACTGGTCGGTTCAGTTAACTATTGGTTTTCTATATCGGTTAATCGAAACCGAACCGATCGGTTTGATTTCGGTCAGTTTTTCGGTCAATTCAGTTTTTTAGTTTTTTTTGCTCACCCCTAGCCTAATCTACTCTGCCTTCACAAAATGAATTTGGATGAATTGTGAGTGATCTTTGATGAGGGGTAATTTGGTCCTCTAAATTAGATCACGATGCGTGGCTTCCAAGTGACACCTCGACGCAGATCACCTCGGCAAGTTGGCTAGTAGCACCTTGCTAGGGCCGACCTAAGGTACCTCAGTCTAGTCAACCTAAAGGACCTCTAAGCAAGGAGTGACCTACCTTAGGGACTGACTAAGCCAAGAAAGGTACTATCGGCGACCTACAAGGTATGCTTGCTGACTTGTCACATAGATCCGTTGCCAGACCGAGTTCTCCATATATTAATGAGTCGACCGTTAGGCCGGCCTACCTGTATCATGCGCATCAAAGTCAATCGAACGGACCTTAGCCCTTTGCGCAGATTACATAACCGACGTCATTGCTCTCTCCCAACTTAGCAGAAATGGCTCTACGAGAGTTTAGGACCCGTTACAAAAGCTCTTTCATTCTCTAAACTTCTAAGTCTCTCAAAGAACTCTTCGCTGACTTAATCATCAGAGTGCCCACCCCGAGTAAAAGCAGCCTATGCACTCTAACTTTCTCTCTTGCAGAACCATCTAGCTTGGCCACTGACAAAGGAAACTTCCATCTCGGCGTCCGAGTCACTTGCCAAGTGAGATTCGTTAGACCACACACCATCAATTGGCGCCGTCTGTGGGAATATGCTATAAAATGCTAAGTTCTCAACTCTCAACACTCTTTAACAGAATCCATGGCTTTTTCAAGCAAGCAAGCAACCAACAACAATAACAACAATCAGGTTACTGGAGGACACGACCAACTCGGACTAATCCCAAAAGTTCCTTCAGTAACAATTGGACAAACTAGCATACCTTTGACTCCACCAAGCGTCCCTCCCACTCTGAACCCAACCTTTCCACCACCTTAGGTGAGCGTGCCTCCTCCTGTGGTCGAGCCCTCTGTGGCTCCTGTTGGAGTTAATGCATGCCAGTTCTATGACTTGGTGCAATGTGTCTGAAAGATGAGCAATCAAATAAGGGCCTGGTTTGATAAGTTTGTCACCATAATAGGGGCCAACAATAGCAACAACAGTAGTAGATTCAACAACAAAACCAGCAAACACAATAGCAATGACCACAACAATGTCAGAATGCCGAGCTGAATCCTAACCCGACTCCTATTCGGGTTCCTAACTAGGTTCCCAACTAGGTTCCTAACCAAAACTTGAACTAGCCGTCGGTGGAAAGCCGAGCTACTACCCCCATCAGAATTGAAGCCGCCAGTTCATTCAAGGGGTCCAAAAGGAGGCACCACAGATGTGCTCACCGCACCTCGAAGAAGAGTCAACTCGCTTCGTCTGTGAGTGAAATGGACAAAAGAAACGGAAATAAGGAAGCTATCCAGGTAGGTAACTCGTCTGGGCGGCCAATATCTAACACTTCGACACTAGCCCTCGAGATACTCAGCTCCGTAACCTAAAGACTTCAGGCCCCCCAGCCTCGAATCCTACAACGGAACAACAAACCCTGTGGACCATGTTGACAATTTCCAAGCCTTAATGCAACTGCACAGGGCCAACGATGCAAGCTTGTGCATGGCTTTCCCAACAACTCTCCGAAACATATATAGCTCGGTTGTGGTACTCAGAATTATCCCCCCGACTCCATAAAAAGTTAGGATTAGTTCGCCCATCTATTTATCACTCACTTCGCCACCAGTAAAAGGTGTCCTAAATCTGCAACCTACCTAATGTCGTACAATGACCAAACGAGACACTCCACAAGTACATCAAAGATTCAACCAGGAACATCTCCAAATCCCTAACCTCAACCTGGTGGTATAGCTCACAGCAGCAGTGAACGGTGTCCACCACCCTGACTTACGCTAGGAGATTGACTTGAACCCTTCAACTTCTATGGAGAAGTTCCTCGCTAAAGCAAACAAGTTCACTAAGGCGGCAGAAGCA